ATACTAGAATCGAACCAAGCTTTTGAAAAATGGGACTTAATAGACATCTACAGAGTGTTCCACCTCACAAAATCAGAATATACATTCTTTTTGGCTGTACATGGGTCATTCTCCAAAATAGATCACATACTAATTCATAGAACAGGTTTAAATAAATGCAAAGGAATCAAATTTATCCCCTGTATATTATTAGATCATAGTGCAATCAAGCTGGAGATCAAGAGCATAAGAAACCATACAAACTTCACAAACACATGGAAATTGAACAACACTCCCTGAACAATCAGTGAGTCACAGAGAAAATTAAAGAAGAAATTATACAGTTTTTACAAATAAATGATAATACCAATACAACATACAGGAATCTGTGGGACACAATGAAAGCAGTTCTACATGGAAAATTCACAGCACTGAATGCCCACACTAGGAAAACAGAGCAAGCTCAAATTAACAACTTAATAATGATTTTTAGGCTCCTAGAAAAAGAAGAGCGAGAAAAACCCAAAGTTCATACAAGGGAGGAAATTATAAAGATCAGAGCCAAAATCAATGCAATGGAAACTAAGAGAACAATACAAATAATAATAATAATAATAATGAATCAAAGAGCTGGCTTTTCGAAGAATAAATAAAATCGATAAACTTTTAGCCAACCTTGTCAAAAAAAGGAAAGAAGCTGAGTGTGGTAGCGCATGCCTGTAATCCCAGCACTCGGGAGGCTGAGACAGGAGGATCGCTGTAGTTTGAGACCAGCCTGGGCTACATAGTTCCAGGTCAGTCTCAACTACATAGTGAGACCCTGTCTCAAAAAAGCTGGGGAAGTGGGGAGTAAAGAAAAGGCTCAGATCCATGCAATTAGGAATGAAAAAGGTGAAGTCACAACAGATCCAGCAGAAATCCAGGACCTACTTCAAGAACCTGTACTCAAATAAAATGGAAAACACAAAAGAAATGGACAGATTTCTTGATATTTATGAATTACTAAAGTTGAGCAAAGATTAAAAAGTTCTAAATACCCCAATTACAATTGGTGAAATTGAATCCATAATTAAAAGTTTACCAACTAAGAAAAGCCCAGGTCACAAGACTTGTCATGTAGAGGTAAAAGATCCCAACAATGAATGTAACTGTACTGTATCCCTAAAATTTACCAATAAACTCAATTAAAGCTGAAAAAAAAAAAAAAAAAAAAAAAAAAA